GTCGTGTGTCCTGGATCCTCTATCCTGAACACTGGATCTGAGTCCTGGACTTCGAGTCGTGGCTGAACCTGTCACTGTGGTCCTGCCTGACTCTCATCATACTACTTCCCTGATGGCTCCCACAGGATTGTTGATATCCTTGTGGATTCATCTTGTTATTATAGACACATGCATTTCCAAACATTTGGTCTTTTCAAACATTTGGTCTACCTACGCTGTAAAATGTATTATCTCTTCGATTGACACACGGCATCTATTGCACGTCTGTCTGTCCTGGGAGAGGGATCCCTCCTCTGTTGCTCTCCCTGAGGTTTCTCCCATGCTCCCCTTTAAACTGTGGGTTTTCTCTGGAAGTGTTTCCTTGTACGATGTGAGGGTCTAAGGACAGATGGGTGTCGTATTGTCATACTGATATTCTGTACAAACTGTGAAGACCACTGAGACAAATGTAAGATTTGTGATATTGGGCTATATAAATAAACATTGATTGATTGAAAATATATGTAAAAAATATATATTTTTCTGCAAGTGAACATTTCATCACTAAGTTCATTTTTTTTCTACAAGCTACACAACCTTTTTTTTTTCTTCTGTCACTTCAAATTTTGTTTACAGATACGTGGATATTTTATACAAGTTTAGATGTATGCACACAAGCTCAGATTTTTTTTCTGCAAGTGCTCACATCAGGTTTTACATGCTCTCTCATTTTGCACCATATCTACCTTCATACCCCCCCCCCCTAGAACCGCCCCTTGGTAGAACTACTCAGATCTTGCTCTGAAGTAAAAGTAGAAGTACTCAGATCTTGTGTAGGAATACTCTGTCACAGTAAAAGTCCTGCATTCAAAATGTTACTCAAGTTAAAGTAGAAAAGTATTATCATCAAAATATAGTTTCAGAATAGTATATATGATATGTTTTATTATGATTGATCATGAAAGTGTTCTCAAAGCTGGTAAAGGTGCAGCTAGTTTGAATGACTTTGTATACTGCAGGGTATCTTGTGAATTTACTCCAGGTGGAACTAAAGTCTGATTTAACACTTGATTATATTTCACATCATTCATCCAAATCTGTAAAGTAACTAAAGGTATTAAATACAAGTAGTCAAGTAAAATTACACAATACCTCTGAACTGTAGTGGAGTGACAATGTTGACATCAAAAAGTGCATTTGCACAATTAGGGGACCTTTAAGTATATTTTGATGCTAACACTTTTCAACTTTTACTCAAGTAAAAATATCTAAGCACTCTTCCCACCTCTGCCCCACACCCCTTGGAGGGGGCCGGATCCTCTCACATCAGAAGTCTACATGCGTAGCACTATATTTCCTCCACTAGTGAGCAGTATGCTAACACTAGCAGAGCGGATTGGCCCTGTTGAGGAGTCCTCACATTACATTACTCATCAAGTATTTCCCACATTGACATAGTTTCTGTATACCTCAGAGTCCCTCCTCCCCAAGCCCCAGCTAACTGACCCTAGCTGCACCCATCATTCATTAGTCTGAGTGGCCCTGTAGCGATCGGTTATTTCCTTAATGAAGACCACACCACCTAAGGAAGTGGTTACAGTCTAACTATAGACCCACTCTTAATAATAGCAAGCGTAAGGACAGCCCCTGTAGCATCTGAGCTGAACGATAACCCTCTTTCTTGGAAGCAAAGTTTGACGACAACCTTTCTCGTCAGGCTATTAACAAACTACATCACCACCGCTAAGCTAAAGGTGGCTAATGTTTGGTGTGATGACATTTAGAGGTCTAATTGAACAACCGCCTATTCCTTTCTCCTTTTAGAAAGATTGATACTATGCAACAGTGTTGGTGGTAACTGTACAGTACTGCATGGTAACTTGCTTCCAGTGAAAAGAAAGAACCAATATAGAGACACCAAAAAGGAAACACGTGAATGTAAAAATATGTTAAGTGAAAGCATAAGATATGATGATGTACTTTTGCAGGCTGACATGGCAGTTAGCATCACAACCGCTCCTTCAATATATATATTTTGAATATTGCAAAGAATAAGAAGCACATTTGTGATACTCACACATTTTGTTCAGCAGCATAATGTCCACATATTAACACTCAATGCAATTCCCAGAAGTAAAAAGCTAACGTTAGGCTATTAACAAACTACATCAAAGTCACATGGCTGCACATCACCACCGCTAAGCTAAAGGTGGCTAATGTTTGGTGTGATGACATTTAGAGGTCTAATTGAACAACCGCCATTTTTATGACACATAGAAACTTCAGACAATCACCAGTGGGCTATATTTACTTTCATATTATATGTTGAGAACAAAACAGGCGTAAGACGACAAAAACTTAAAAAAGACATTGACTTCAAGGGAACTGGGTATAAGGAAGTGTGAAATGCACGTTGTTCCAGAATAAGGGACAGTACAGAAGGTGAGATAATGGTCTCTTGGTTTTTCCTTGTTTCCTTATTGGCTTGTGCATGGTGTCATTCTCTTTCAGATTTCCATCCCTGTGGCAGGGATGATTCATCCCGAAGACGTGGGTGGAGTTTCACTTCTAGGGATTTATGGAGCAACATTTTCCTGATGGTATACCGACGCCTTAAATATATGGGTGAAGGTTCACCGAAGGGAACAATGTGATCTCGCCTGATAAATAACAACTGTTAGTCCATGCCTCCAGCAACAACACTGCACTGATCACATGACCCTCAACACACACAAAGGAAGCAGCTGGGAAACCATGAAAGTCACAAACTCCAAAAAGGTTCATTCTTACAAATAAAATAAATATTTTTTATGTGCATTCAAAGACAACAGCCGTGTGGTTAACACAACCTTTGCAAAACACCTTTGCCACTTTGTACGTGGCTGTATTTTGAATACTATTTTCTTTACTGAATCAAATCTTTAGTTGTATCAGGTTGTCTGATGCATTAATGTACATTTTATTTATGTATTAGTAATTGAAGTTAAGCATTTAACATCCTTGCAGCATGTTGACAAATTAGGTTTTAACTTGAAAATGCTATCTTTGCTCAACTAATCCATTAATAAAATCAGTCATTAACATTTCACTGCCCAGCATATGTGTTCTATTTTGTACATCTTATTCTAAGGCTATTTGGCATCTTATAGCACAACCAAAGCTATTGTTATGCTAGACTGTGTTTCAGGTGACATTGGGTTCTACATCGGAAGTTAACTCCAGCGTCATTGATCAGATCGATGCTCATAACAGGGTGAGTCACCGCTCCCTCTCAATGTGTTTACTACAAATGTTGTGCTGCTTCCAGCTTCCTGTGCTCGCATTTGCCGAGCATGCTTTACATTGCCGCAGCCACGCGGTGTCCACGCGTCAGCTTCGGGCGCTCATTGGCTAATGCTGACACAAACAAAGCTTTTCCACCAATGGGAGCCGTGTGCACGCGCTGAGCCATGCTGCTCACCCTTGCTGCTCATGTCCCATTTGAGGCTACTCACATAAAACCAGCAGAGCTCTTTGTTTACAGCAGAAAGAAGTTGACCTCGACAGTGTAACTTTCTGTTAAGTATCCCAAACTAGCAGTCATGGTTGCTATGGCGAAGCGAGTGAAAACCTTTCACATTCAATTTACGGACCCCAGCAAGACATTTTACTGCGGGGGGGAGAAGGTGTCTGGACGGGTCTCAGTGGAAGTAAACGAGGTGACCCGGGTGTCCGCGGTGAAGCTCCTGGCTCTGGGCTCCGCTAAAGTGGAGTACGCTAAAGGCAAGCAGCGGTGCCGACAGGCGGCCGAATACCTCCGACATGAAGAGGTGCTGCTGCTGGACGAACAGCCCTCAGGTACGGCACCTTTCTCGGTATCTGCAGTCACCTGGCACCACGGTCAAACTTTGTTATCCGTCTCAAAGGAGCGTCTGATCAGCTGCTAGCTATGGGCTTTAGCCTAATGCTGCTTGGTGTATGTATAATTTAGTATCATCGAGGGTGAGGAATGACTGCATGGCAGTGGGTGGAACCAGGAGTGGAGTGTATTCAAGTATTCAATTTACTCAAGTACTGTATTTAAGTTCCATTTTGAGGTACTTTATTTGAGTATTTTCATTTTATGCTACTTCACTACCTTTTGGAAGCCAATATTGTACTTTTTACTCTACTACATTTATTTGACATCTTTAAAATGAGCTCCACCTTGAACAGCTGTGGTAGACACATTTCCTGTCTCAATGATCAGAATCCAGAAAGGTAATAGACGTGATTTGAAATGACTCATAATGAGTACTTTTGGTACTTTAATAACATTTTTGCAGCCTAAACTTTTTTTTTAAATGTAGCAATGCTACTTTTACTTAAGCAAAAAGTTGAGTTGTTCTTCCACCTCTTGTTGATTTCCCCTGGATTAGTCCGATGTTTCCCATATTGGTGCTCAGTGATCAGCCACACAGGCAGGAGTATTCATGAGGTTGCATTTTCTCTTTCCAGACTCTGATGGATCAGTCGTCCTGAGGCCTGGCAACAAATATGAGTACATGTTTGGATTTGAGCTCCCCCAGCAAGGGTAAGGCTTTCTCACTTTTGATATTATTACACCATCTCTGAGCAAATGATTCTTTAGTGAAATGTACTTTGTAGAATACTTTTGGTTTTAATTTCCTCCACCAATGTTCTCACAGGCAGCTGGTGTCGTCATACAAGGGGAAGTTTGGCTATGTGCAGTACTATGTGAAGGCCATGATGGAGAGGTCACAGCAGCCCACCATGGAGTGTAAGAAAGCCTTCGAGGTGGAGGAGCCCCTGGATGTCAACACCCCTGACCTCCTGGTGAGTTATCTGACACTGAACAACAACAGCGATGTTTATATGGGCTTTATAATTATGAGTTTGACATTGAGGCTTACCTTTCTGCATCTCCTCAGTCCCCCACAGGAGGCAGCAAGGAGAAGAAGGTCACCTGCATGTTCATCCCTGACGGCCAGGTGTCTCTGAATGCAAAAATCGACCGGCGTGGCTTCTGTGAAGGCGAAGACATCTGCATCAACGCTAAGTTTGAGAACACCTGCTCCCGCATCGTGGTGCCCAAGGCCGCCATCATCGCCAAACACACCTACCAGGCCAACGGGCGCACCAAGGTCTGCCGCCAGAAGCTGTCCGCAGTCCGGGGAAACCACATCATCTCCGGGATGTGCGACGCCTGGCAGGGGAAGACCATCCGGGTGCCCAAGATCAAGCCCTCTATGCTGGGCTGCAACATCATCCGTGTGGAGTACGCTCTCACGGTAAGCCTGCAGCTGTTGGAGGTTGATTTATCGGCTTATCTCATTACACAGATTTAAACAGCTGATAACAAAGCAATGGCTCATAAGTTCATGTTTCATCATAGGTCGAACACAAAGAGGGATGATTTCACACATTCTCACACGCTTGCTGTTCATATACTTTCTTGTAAAGAATAACAATAACATACATGGTACTTTAGCTCCAAAACTGAATGATATTACATCGTTTTTGTAATATTCCATTTTCCATGTATTTGCATTCTAATTCTGTCTGTTATCCTTTCCACAGTGTACTCTTGCAAGTCTGAGAGAGAATCAGTATTAATGTGTCTGTTCCCCCCCCCACCCCCAGATCTACATCCACATCCCTGGGAGTGAGAAGCTGCTCCTGGAGCTGCCCCTGGTGATCGGGACCGCGGGGCTGGGCAGCCGCAGCAACAGTGTGAGCAGCCAGGAGGGCTCGGTGAGCTCCGCCTCCCAGAGCTGGGTCTCCCTCAGGATGCCCTCCTCACCCCCCAGCTACTGCGACATCTCCCGGGACTGCCGGCTGGACCAGCCCCTCACCCCGCTGCTGGACGACTTCGACGGGGACGACAGCCCCATCTTCATGAACCCCCCCCCCACCTTCCAGTTCCCCTCGCCTCCGGCCTACACTGAGGTGGGTGTCTCAACAAGTCACTCTGTCAAATGATAGGCACTTTATTCATCCCATAGTTACAGCAGCAGTGTGTTCAGGCATTCAAATCTTTAAGGTGGATTACATTATAGATAGAATCAAATCAAACGGCACATTTATACATATCTACAGTAGAAAAGACATATATCCCAAAGAATACACAATATAAAATATTTTGGATAAATAAGAATGTTCTATAAAAGACCAAAATATATATATATATATATATACATAGGATAGTATATACATTTCAGTTGTAAATGATAAGAAATGATCATTGCAAAGCACCTTTGTACGTGGCATTTCATTTTGTCTTTACTAAATCTAATGTTTAGCTGCGATCTGGTTTACTGATGCATTAATGCACATGTTGTTTATGTCTTAGTACCTTGGGGTCAGCATTTAACATCCTTGCAGCATTTTGACACATTTAGTTTTCACTTTAAACTGTTTTCCTTTGTTAGATAATCCATTCTTAAAATCAATCCATATCCTTCCATACAGGGGCCAACATATGTGCTCATTTAGCATTTGATAGCACAGCCTAGGTCATTCTAATGCTAGACTGTTTCAGGTGACATTGGAGTACACAATCACAATATAAATATTTATATACACAGGATAGTATATCAATTAGAGAGACAATCAGCAATGATCATTCCTTATCATTTTCAACCCTAATGATAAAACTATATTTCCCTCAGGCTGAGGAGGTCAACGGCAACGCCCGCATGCTGCCGGTCTGCTGAAGAGATTCTCCTCCCGCGGTCCAGCTCTCAGGGACCGCTCATCTAAAGCACTTGAAAAGGAGCAGAAGGTCCAAACTCCAGAGGAGGTGTGAGAGGGTGCACAGAAAGAGGCTCCTGCTGTCTTCACTGCGCTTCATCACCAGCACGGACTCGTGTCTTCCTCCTGGTGCTCCTCAGGTCAAGGACCTGAAGGCGCACTACATTTCTGAATAAGCTGTCCCTTCCAGAGGCTCAGAATTCTCAGGGTCTCGCTGTCCATTCACAGCCACTTTAAGACTTTGTTTTGGGGCCAAGCATTGTATGAGTCGGCCCCCAGCCTGCTGTTACATCTTTGCCTTTTTGGGGCTTCGCTTTTTTCTTCATGGCGCTTTGTCATTCCTGTAAAACCCTGTGTTTAAGGGCTTTCCCCAGAGGAACCATGATTTTGGCTGTAAGGGAATAATGCTGCTGTGAGCATTACAGCATGTGCAGTAATCTTCCTGGGATGCTAATAGAACTTCAAGCAGCATCCATACTTTCTTTTGTACCAGTGTTTGAAAGAATTGTTTGTTTCTATTGCACTTTTTGATCTATCACTGCCTACTCCAGTTTCTGTTTGTTATGGTCTGTTTGAACAGTGTTCGATGTGTAGAGTGGATATTCTCTAGGTAAAACACTCTAAACCTGTTGACTCCTTATCTTTTGATGATATAATCCCAGTTTGGTGGTTTTCTGCAAAGAGCCCAACAGGATCCATCCGACATACATGCTCCAATACCGTGAAATGCACCTTATGTGACCATTATCATGTTTCTGATCCCACAACAACATTTCACTGAGTCTCCGCTGTGGGAGTCCCACACCTTCAGGGCGTAAAGAGAATCACTGTTAAAGACTGATTTGATGTATCCTTGATACTTATAACAAGTATTTTTGTATGAAACCCTATGGGTGATTTTTTTGTATTAAAGAAAGATTGAAAAATATCCAGCATGTCGGCTCTTTCATTTAAACTCTGATCATCTGTCAGTCCAGCAACATCTTTGTTCAGCTTGGAGGAAGAGATGAACTCCATGCTGTTGTTAAATACTGTACGTTACTGGACGACGCAATTTTGTAGGCCAACCAGGAAGTTGGCATCATAAGGGCTCAGGCATTTAACCACAATCACGTTCAAAACGATTGATTTCAGGGGGAACAGGAAGCAGTATAATGTCAACTAATTTCTGGGTTTTGGAACTCATTCCTTTATCAGTGCTTTGACCCTGCTGTTGATCATTGAGGCCTCAACATGTTCACCGTGGAACATTTGCTCCTTGATCTACAGTATGTGTCAGTCTTTTGTTACTAAACATTTCTCACTTTCCTGTTGATATACAGCCCAGCTTTACGTCTAGGTGAAGATATGCCACTCATGTCCGAAGTTTCTACCTCCTCTCTGTATATGGAGGACAGAGAATGTCATGTGTGTTGCTTAAGACCTGAAACATGAAGCAATATTTGGAGAAGTTACTACTTCACCTTCACCTTTTATTTTTTCTGTTTGTTTAAAGGTCCCATGTCATGCTTTTCCGGTTATTACCCGTCCCCTTGTGTGTTATGTAGCTTTGTATGCATGTAAACGGTCTGCAGAGTCACTAACCCTCAAAGCCTGTAGGGAGTAAAACTCTAACACAGAAAAGACCTGTTTATGCTGCCCCAAAACGCCTCGTTGGACATTTCTCTTTTTCTATTTTTTTCTTCCTAGTCTAAGTGACGTAACGACGACCAAATGGACCATTTAGTCCATATGGTCGTTACGACGTGACGTAACAACGACCAAATGGACCAATTGGTCCAAATAGACCAATCCGTGAAGCTCCTCACACACACACACACACACACACACACACACACACACTCACTCACTCACTCACTCACTCACTCAGCCTTATCTTTGCTCAGCTGCAGCTCAGCGGATTTCAACAAGGCGTGTAGGACAGAGAGTGAATACACATACTATACAGAGATGCTGTATGAGAAACCAATGTGAGTTTTGTTACATTGAACAATATAAATCTATTCTAGTAGACCTCAACAATGGAATTATGATCAGTAGAAATGGCCATGACATGGGACCTTTAAATAGGAAAATATGTACAGATTCTTCTCCTTTTAGCAAGGATGCAAACTATGATTACTTCTCTAAGTACAGCCACATTTTTTTTGTTCTGTTTGACGCAGATGTGGGAGTACATCAGCCTTGTGTGGATCGGCCCAACACACGCAGTGAATAGGATGGGAACATGAGGCAACCGGCCTTTAGAGAAGGCCTGTTTTCCTGTGGAGCGGCTGCAGGAAGAGGCCTGGGCACGACTTCTTTTTTTCAAGTTTGTTCTCTATTCTGTGCTGTTGACGTCTGGTAACCGCTGAGAGCCTCGGATAAGGAGAGGACTTATCTGTGAGTCTCTGTGATGGGGGCCTGGAGGCAGCTGTAGCTGGAGTCACGACCATGTTGTTTGTTTCTTCAACATATTCATACCTGTAGGCTACAGTGGATTTAATAACCTTCACAGGTTCTAGTTTATAGATCATTCCAGAATTGCAGCACATTTAGACATCAACACTTTTGAAAAATATGAGTGTTTTTTATTGGTTAAGTGGTCCTTGGTATGAAAAAGTTTGAGAAACACTGCGCTAGTGGATTGTCAAAGGGGGAGCCTCGTTATTATTAATAATAATTTAATCAACATTTTTTTATCAATTTTTATTTATTTATTTTTCCATTTTTATTTTGTAATCATCTCGCGACCCCCCAGGGGGTTTATGGAAATCTGGCCAACCATGGTAGTTTTTACATCTTTATGTTGATTGCTGCAGTTATGAATTGCAGTGTAAGGCCACGTTTACACAGAGACAAAATGGGTTGTATCCGCTACAGTTCTCTATCCTATGGACGGTTCGTTCACACGAGGCCGCAACGGAACCGCGGAAACGGAGCCCTCGAATGATAATGGATCCCAAGGTGGGTAGATATGCGGACGAAACGCTCTGTGGGGCCAAACGGCTCTGTGTGTACGTCCTATGATCATTTCCTGATAACGATGACGCCATAGCCCCGCCTTTCCCCACCTCTGCTGCTCACCCCCGCGTCACCCGCGTGTTTCACCAACAACAACAACAATGGTGGATCACAGGGTTGCTTTCGTGCTCCAGACGATCCTGACCATGATACAGATGTTAGTGCACAATCTACAGCTCCTCTACCACAACCATCAGCAACAAGTGGACATGGAGAACTACATTAACTACATGTTGCTAAATCCACCGCGGAGAATAAACAGAAGGGCAACTAGGCAACCATGGCAACCATGATCGGGGGGTCTTCTTCGCTGCTTTTGGTGTATTTTTTGGCGGAAGTACTCCAGTACGCCACTTGCAGGCCAGGCATATATACTACAGCGTCTCCAGCGGGTGGAGCGGTCTCGTGTGGACGGACACTTTTCTTGAGCCGATCCCGTGTGGACGGAAGATTTTTTGATATCGACTAAGGTTCGTTTTCGTCTCCGTGTAAACGTGGCCTAAGGGGTCTGAGCACACAGCCCTGAGGGACTCCAGTGTTCAGCAGTTAAGTGTCACCCACAGTCTGACCTGCCTGAGGTGAGTTCTTCTACTTCCTCCTTCTCATATGCTGACCTGTGTACTTTTGTTATCATGGGTTACTAAAATATAATCTGCTGCGCACCTAAAACACTTCACCCACAATGCAGACACATGCACATTATCTAACCAATTGTACTCGGTCATGTGTTTTTCAACACAATGAGAAGTCAGTGAGGGGTCTTGACCTTGTTGCTTAACACTGTGTCTTTTTGTTTGTGAGTATGTGTTTGTGTGTGTGTGTGTGTGTGTGTGTGGGTGTGGGGGGGGGGTCACAGTCACTTTTAGCTGTGGTGTAAATTGACTACGGCCATGTGGAACAAACATGTTTTTCCCAACTGTGAATGTCAACCAGCAGCATAACTGTGTGTGTCTTCAGACATGGCCTGTGATTGGCTGAGGCAGCAAAGCCCTGGCCACCTTTTATGCTGAAACAGTTGTTCATGAGGGTAGGCACTTGAAAGCTGCACTTTCACACATTCACACGCGCACCAGTGTTTCCGTTAGCTAATGTTTACCTGACTTTGACCGGGAACATTTCTCGAATTCGAACAGATTTAAATCTGTCACAATGTCTGATGAAAATAATTCCCCATAAAGCACAATTTGAAGTTTATTAAAAATAATCAGAATGAACAAGTCAGCACCACCCTCTCATGGATGTGGCACGCTGGATGCCATCGCAGTGAAGACAGTAGTTATGGAGACTGGAATATCTAAACAGCCTGCAAACTCCTCATGAGTGATTCCCAGGCTGCCTAACTGACAGGCAGGCTGTGAACCAGCCTGCTGTGGGCCCCAGAGAGAGGATTCTCTGCAGAATATATTCAAAACAGTGCTTGACTTCAAGTCGGCAGCAGCACGCCCTCAGTAAGTTGTTATAAACCAGACAGGCCTACATGTGTTTATATGTTTTTACAAACAGTTTAGTTCTGTCTTATTTGATCTAAGAATATGAGAGAACTTCTTGGTGTTAAGAGTTATGGCGCGGGCTTTGGTAATATATCTTTTTTTCAGCTTGCACAGGTCTATAGCCTACTTTTCTGTAAACATACACTACCAGTCAAAGGTTTGGACACACCTGCCAGTGTTTCCCCTAGGATGGAGTCATAGCAGCGGTGCTAAGGCACGTGGGCCCAGCATAATGTGAGCGTGGAGCGCGTGGAATTGTTTAGTGTGTGCGCGTGCGAAGTGCGCCCCGCCAATTTGTGTCAGCACAAGAACGACTCTTGAGGCCTAGTACCAGGGCCGGTTCTATACAATTTGCTGCCCAAGGTGAGATTTTAGGCGACATTTTATATGTAAAGAATAAATGAAAAATAAATACAAAAGACAAATACACTTCAAAAAAAGAAACTTTTTTTTTTGGGTACACTATTTGTATATAGGGGAAACACTGCCTGCTCATTCGAATGTTTTTATTTATTTTAGTTATTTTATACATTGTAGATTAATACTGAAGACATCAAAACTATAAAGGAACACGTATGGAATTATCTATTAAAAAAAAAAGTTTTACAAAATCCAGAATATGATTTATATTTTAGGTTCTTCAAATTAGCCCCCTTTTGCCTTGATGACAGCTTTGCTTGGCTTCTCTCAGTCAGCTTCATGAGGTCGTCACCTGGACTGCTTTGCCTTCACTCTGCGATCAACTGATCCCAAACCATCTCAATTGGGTTGAGGTCGGGTGATTGTGGAGACCAGGTCATCTGATGCAGACTCCATCACTTTCCTTCTTAGTCAAATAGCCCTTACATAGCCTGGAGCTGTGTTTGGGGTCATTGCGTTGTTGAAGTACTTACTGTTGTCCCAGTAAGCTCAAACCAGATGGGGTGGCATGGCGCTGCAGAATGCTGTGGTAGCCATGCTGGTTAAGTGTGCCTTGAATTCTGAATAAATCACCAACAGTGTCACCAGCAAAGCCCCCCGCACCATCACACTTCCTTCTCCATGCTTCACGGTGGGAACCACACATGCAGAAACCATCCGCTCACCTTCTCTGCGTCTCACAAAGACACGGCGGTTGGAACCAAAAATCACAAATTTGGACTCATCAGACCAAAGTACAGATTTCCACTGTCTAATGTCTTTTTCTTTTGAGGGACGGTCGTTTCTCTTCACTGAGTTGAGTGGTTCTTGCCATAATATGGATTACAACAGCAGTCTAATCGGGCTTTCTACTGCGCACTAACTCTACCTCTGCACAACACAACTGATGGCCTCAAACAAATTAAGAAGGCAAGTCATTCCATACATTGACTCTGAAAAGGCACACGTGTTAACAGAAAACCATTCCAGGTGACGACCTCATGAAGCTGACTGAGAGAAACCAAGAGTGTGCACT